ACTTCATTTAGTGATAATTTTTGTGTTTTTAATTTACCAAAATATACTTTGTTCTATTACGATTCTTTCTGCTTTTATAGATCTTAATTTGATCAATTCAATTGTTTGTAATCACTTACGTAAGAATCACCGGGTGGAACTCTATTTCCACCCGATTCACATTCGCCAAGTGCTGATGTCATCTTGACGTCCGTGCCCTTTATTCCATTTTTTGTGAATTTTAAGTATATTTCCCTTTTTATTTCCGAGTATAAAATTCATAGAAAATCGTATTCATTGAGAAAAATTCTGAATAATTACCAGGTATTATATTACATCCCTGTGATTGACTTGGAAAATTATTGCTATTTTTGGATGTTTTATTGAATTATAATTGATATATTTATTTAGAAATACTTCTAAATATTTGAAAATTCGTATTTTCTAGTTTTATAAATTTTAGATTTGTGTGATTTAATATACAATGGCTGAGTCACATCAAATTTTGGTGTTATTGCCGGGGATGTATTGCATAATATTTAGTATTTTTCTGTATTTCTCTTAGAGTATACAAAAAAAAAAAATTAACTCTTATTTTATTTTCTTCTTGCTGAATTTTTTTTTTAGAAAAAGGGAAAAAAAAGAAACAAGACAAGGACTGAAGCATACTGAAGGAGGGTAACAATTACTAACATTTTCCCTCGAATTTATTGATTTTTATGCATGGTAGAAGATCCTTGCATCCAAGGCTAGAAAATCCTTTCATTATTTTATTCAAAAATAAAAATCCAAAAGAAAAATTAATTTTGATGGATCTTGAAGGAAGTACAGGTCAAACTGAGAATAATCCTGTGGCCATGAAAAATCATTATATCCCTGATTCATTTCAAAGAACATCTAATATTAGAGTCCCATTAGCACCTACTGTTAAATTCGAAATAAATCTAGGAATTTTTCAAATGCTCCCTAATTTTCATGGATTGCCTTTAGAGGAACCTCATCAGCACTTAGAAAAATTTTATATGGTCTGTGATTTAGTTAATCTCCCTCAAGTTACACCGGAAATTATTAAGATGAAATTATTCCCTCATACACTTAGGGACAAAGCTAGACATTGGTTATCCACATTAGATAGAGAATTAACTAGCTAGAAAGATATAGAACAGGCCTTTCTTTGAAAATTTTATCTCTTAGGAAAAACTCAAAATATGAGAAAACATATATAGAGTTTTTCTCAAAGACTAGGAGAAACTTTGCATGAGACATAGGAAAAATTTAAAGATTTACTTAGAAAGTGTCCTCATCATGCTGTACCCAAGTGGCAGCTCAATAGAATTTTTTATGATGGATTATTAGAACAACATAGAAATATGGTTGATTCTATATGTGGAGGAGCTTTTATGGAGAAAATTCCTAATGAGATTTACAGTCTTTATGAGAATTTAAGTGAAAATTCTAGAGATCAAGACTCTTTTGAATTATATGATAGGGATAAGAAGAGAGGAATTTATAAATTGCATCATGATGATGATTTAAACTTAGAAATGAGGTTAATTAGATTAATCAAAGATTAGAAAAAAATGATTTACTTATTGACAATATTAGAAAGCCTCTTAACCCTCAATTTAATTCAAATAGTACATGTCCTACGTATGGTGAAAATGATCATTTCGAATTTCAATATCATCCTATGCAAGAACAAGTATAAGTACCCCACGATTTTAGTAAAAATAGAGAATATTTTTCTAATTCTTATAATCTTAATTGGGGGAATAATTTTCCGTGGAGAAACCCAAATAATATTCAAAATTCAGAAGCACTTAGATCCAATTCACATTTTGAATTTTGTCCAAAATAGGAACATAGATTTCAGAAAAATCAGTCCTCTCAAACCCAACATGATACTAGAGAAATGATGCAGCAAATGAGCCAAATGATGCAACAAACTACGAATCAAATGATGTTGTATCAGAAACAAATTATAGAGGCTCTTGGGAATAAGAGAGAAGAGGGACAGCTACCTAGTCAGCCCATAGAAAATTCAAGAAACTATCCAACAATAAGATTTCAACAAGAAGAGTCTAGTTGGATAAATTTAGAAAAAAACCCACGAAATGAAAATATTAGGTCAGTAAATACATTGAGTGAGAATATTTTACTTGATCCTTATTTCCAATTATTAGAAGAAATTAATGAGCCATTAGAAGTAAATGAGAATATTAAGGTTGAAAATATAGTAGCAGAAAATTTGAATAAAATCATTTATTGCTCACAATTGATGAATGAAGATAGTGAGGATGATGAGGAGAAAGAGCCCTTAGATGAAGAAACAGCAGCTGATCATGGAAAAATCATCCAAATTTTAGTAGAAGGGAGTAAGGACACAAATGAAGAAAAACATATTTCAGGTGAGGAAAAATCAGTTGATTTGGGAGATGTAGGAGACAAAATTAATAAATCTAATCATAATTTTACAGCCATGAATGTTGATGATGATGTATATCATATCTCGAAATTAAAAGATAGCTCTTGGGAAGATGACGAATTTAATGAGTTGAGAAACGAAAAGTTAGAAAAAGAGTTGATTCAACTAATGGGGAGAAACGAAAATAATGAATATGAATATAGAGATAATTTTGGAAGAGAAAATTTGAATTTTACTGAATTCATTAGATCTGAGATTAAAGAAGACAATCCTTCCATCCTTCAAAACCCACAGCCCATTAGAATTATTTCTAAGCTTGAAATATTTCACTCCTCACAAATCGAACAAATATGTATGGAGGATAAAATGGAGTAGGGGAGGATTATGCAGATAAAAGAAGACATCAAGAAATGGATGAATGGAAGAATTAGATATATCAATTTAGATGAAAAAATTTTAGATTAGGTAAGAGCTAATTCAAAAATTATATGGCCTGATCACATTTTTTGGTCTATTAATAAAAAGCATTTATTAATGAATGAGAGCCTTACAAAACAAGATAGAAATAAGGAAAGATTCTTTTCAAAATGGAAATATTATTTTTGGGAAAATTTTGTTAATTTTCATTTTGTTTTGGCTGAAAGTATGTCAAGGTATATATATGAAGTATATCAATTTATGCTAAATCTGAAAAAGAATATCATGAAACTTACCTTGGGATACAAATATATTTTGATGGCCATAGATCATCTTATATGATCTAAGAGCTGTCCAGCTAGAGACATTAAATGTAGTGCTGCATGGGAGGCAACCCATGGTTTTTATTTCATTCTATTTAAATTTTTTTTTTAAGCTCTGTTTTTTCTTAGAATTTTGCAGTATATGTTTCTGTATTTGTTTTTCTTTTCAAAAAAGTGTAGGAGGAGGAGTGTAAGATGAAGTGAAAAATTAAAAACGAGGTTGAGGTGATGTCTTTCTGAGCTTCATCATTTATGAAAATATTTTTAATGCTTAACTTTGCAGATATGCATACTTCACTTGAAAATTATATTTTTTGCATATTCTATTTCGATTTTTCTGTGTCATTGAGGACAATGTCATTTTTAAGTTGGGGGGATTATTAATTTATGCTGTAGGACGATTAAGAACATGTGTTTGTATTTTATTCAACTTAGAACAGCAATTAAAAAAATAAAAATAAAATAAAATTTGGAAAAACTACAACATCTATTTTCTAGTTTTCTATTAGAAACAATAGATTGTCAAAAACAGTAGACAAAAAACAGCTCGAAATTTGAAATTCTAGAAGACCCTTTTCTTACATTTCAATCCCCTAGATATATATTACTGAAATTTGAAATTACAGCTATAAAGAGGATATTTTTGATTTATTTTTGACAAATTTATTGCTGCTAAAAATAGAACTGAAAACAAAAAATGAAACTGTCAGAACTATCTAATTTAAAAATTCTTTACATCATATTGCATGCATGAAAAATTAAATCAATTAGATTGATTGATACTAAAAGATACTAGGAAGATTATTATTGAGTCAAAAGAATGATCTAGTAGCATGAAATGTTGGAATACTTCTTGGATACATGACAGATAATATGGATTTGATTTTACAGATTTTTACTTCATGATCTTGATGGATAGTATTTACTTGATGTGAAAATTTGATTGATCATTTGAGTTTAATGGAGATTTTTGCACCTTGATCTATAGGACTTGTGAGGAGAAATCACTTATTTCGAAAAAAAAAAAAAAGAGAGAGCAATGTGAAAAATCTAGAAATGAAGAGTACACATGGAGGGTGTGAGACATCATTCTCATTGTCAAAAATCGTGCATAGAAAACACTTACTGAAAAATAAGTGGATAAAGTGAAAGCCCTGAAAATGAAGAGTACACATGAAGGGTGTGAGACATCATTCTTATTGTCGAAATTTTTCTACAGGAAAAGCTACTTATCCACTATATATTTAAAAAAAAAGAAGGAAGAAATATAGTGCAAACTTGAAAAATCAAGTGATAAAAAAACGGAAATGTAAGATCAATATTATTATTGGATGAGTATTGATAATTGGAACATCTAGTAAATACATCTATGAGTGAAGAAGTGAAGTCTAGATTGTTATTCCAAAGAGTGTTTAAACATTTAAGTGCTTGACATCATTTTTAAATACTTGATATAAGAATCCAAATTATTTAAAGGTACACCATTTCTAATTGTATTTTTTTTTTGTATTGAAATATGATGTTTGAGATTTGTAAAATTTTATTTTCGTAATTCCATTGCTATTGGACTGGCAATGATTTAAGTTGGGGGGTGTGATAAGTCTTCATTATCATGAGTGAATTATTAGTAAATAGTATAGTTTTAGCCTTAACTCATGATAAATAGACTCATATTTGTGTTAAAGTATGATTTGTGATTTTCAGTTGATTAACGTGAATTTTTGGGTAATTATGTGATTTTATACGATTTTTATAGTCTTTACTTTTGAGATAAATGAAGAACAAGAAAGAAAAATAAAAATATTACAAAATGGGGGGACCTGCTAGCCAGTCGGGCCCGCAAGCGGGTCGGAAGCTCAATCAGGAAGTAGCCGCGAACAAGGGCTCAAACGGCTTAGCTTGGATCGATATAGGGGCACGTGTGCGCCACTCCCCTTCCACGTCACCAGTGGCCAACCGGGTGTGGGACAAGGAGTGGTTGTACACGCAAGAGAAGCTTACAAAGCTAACATTACTATATATTCGCCTAAAAAATCGGCGCACAACCGATGTAGGACTAAACTCGCATCTCAAGCGGGCGACCGGCGCGGGTTCGAATCCTCCTAGAGTCAAAATTCATATATTTTTATCTAATTATCATGACTTTCCTACAAATCGCTGGTGAAAGATTATGTAACAAGAATTGTTGGATCATTGGCAAAAATCTCGTCAATGCAATTCGCAGAGCATTGCTACTAAAATTGTTGAACAATTCGCAATAAAAGGATTGCGAATCCATCAAGTAAATCATCTCCAATTGATTGACAAAAAAGTCGTCGTCGGGAAGAGGACGATCTGCTAGGAGATGAGTCGCCACCTCTTGAGAGCGTACCGGATGCGATGAAGAGCCTCCTCTTGTTGCACAGACCTGAGGATGAAGCTCCCTGACACGCGCCCCACCTTCATCTACCTCCTCTCCATTAGGTGACAGTCGCTAGAGAGCCGCAAAGTCACCATTTTTCTGCTCCACCGGGTAACAGTCGTCGAAGACGATTTGACGACCCACTTTATTGATCTCTAGACTTTGCGAAAAGATCTAGAGATTGCCCACATTGTCTTTGTCCAAGGAGAGCCTTTGAGGCCATGGACATTGGACAATGATCCTCCCGAACGCTCAGGATTCCGGTGCATCGCTGACGCATCACCATTGCGACATCGGAACTCTGTTTTCCTACTTTCAATTTACTTTACGCTTCATTTAGTGATAATTTTTATGTTTTAATTTACCAAAATATACTTTGTTCTATTACGATTCTTCTGACTTTTACAAATCTTAATTTATTCAATTAAATCATCTATAATCACTTACGTAAGAATCACCAAGTGGAACTCTATTTCCGCTCGATTTGCATTTGTCAGGCGCTGATGTCATCCTGACGTCCGCACCCTTATTTTTATTTTTTGTGAATTTTAAATATATTTCCCTTTTTATTTCTTAGTATAAAATTCATTGAAAATCATATTCATTGAGAAAAATTCTGAATAATTACTAGGTATTATACTACATCCCTATGATCGACCTGGAAAATTACTACTATTTTTGGAAGTTTTATTGAATTATAATTGATATATTTATTTAGAAATACTTCTAAATATTTGAAAATTCGTATTTTCTAGTTTTATAAATTTTATATTTGCGTGATTTAATATACAACGACTGAGTCACGTCAACTTTCTATGTAAAAAAAGGGCTTGACTGAAAGCTATGGGAAGGAGTAGAAAGTCATTCCACCTAAATCAAGAATGAGATTCAATGACCATCTTCTTCCAAGGTTGTGACGGAACTACTGCAACCTTGAATATATGAAGTCTTAAGAAGAGTAAACATTGAGTTTCATCAACATGTTGCTCAAGATCAGAAATTCTTCCATGAGACTTTCCAATGGATATATAGAGAAGAATAAACATGGGATAAATATTGTGTCAAACTCCTAAGAATAGTAGTTCATTATATCTCATGTATAGTGCTTTTACATTCAAGGCTTTCCTAGAGTTGTCAATCTAGATGGTGTGAGTGGATCTATTGCCCCCCCCCCCTAGAGATACAAATCTAGACAAGATGAATCAGTCTTTCCTTACTCACTCACTAAAACTGTGAATTTAGATGAGGGTTATTAGGGAAAATTTTGAGATGGTTGGAACCATCAAATTTAGCATCTAAGAAAATTGAAATAGTAATTCAATGTGTAATTCACTAAGGTATTAACAAAATTCAAGATGTGAGTTTGAAAAAAAGTAATTGAGAAGTATTGTAGGCCTAATGACCAAACCACTATCAAAATGTGTGTGAAATATTCTTACAATAGTCTAGATTCTAAGTTCTAAAGAGGAACACAATTAGAATAAATAAGAAGCAAATAGTCTTACCAATTCGCCCCCTTTTGGTGATGTGCTTCCATATGACACCTGACGTGACTCAGTCGTTGTATATTAAATCATGCAAATCTAAAATTTATAAAACTAGAAAATACAAATTTTCAGATATTTAGAAGTATTTCTAAATAAATATATCAATTATAATTCAATAAAAGTTCCAAAAATAGTGGTAATTTTCCAAGTCGATCACAATATAATATCTGGTAATTATTCAGAATTTTTCTCAATGAATACGATTTTCTATGAATTTTATACTAGGAAATAAAAAGGAAATATATTTAAAATTCACGAAAAAGGAAAATAATGGCGCGGATGTCAAGATGACATCAGCACCTGGCGAATGCGAATCAGGCGGAAACAGAGTTCCGCTTGGTGATTCTTATGTAAGCAATTACAAACAATTTAATTGATCAAATTAAGATCTGTAAAAGTTGGAAGAATCATAATAGAATAAAGTATATCTTGGTAAATTAAAAACTCAAAAATTATCACTAAATGAAGCATAAAGTAAATTGAAAGCAAGAAAACAGAGTTCCGGCGTCGCGATAGTGATGCGTTGGCGATGCACTAGAATCCTGAGCATTCGGGAGGATCGTTGTGCAGTGTCTACAGCCTCGAAGGCTCTCCTTGGACAAAGACGATGTGGGCAATCTCTAGATCTTCTTGCGAAGTCTAGAGATCAATGAAGTGGGTCGTCGAATCGTCTCTGACGGCTGTCACCTGGCGGAGCGGAAAAACGGTGACTTTGCAGCTCTCTGGTGGTTGTCACCTGACGGAGAGGAGTTGGATGGAGGTGGGGCGCGTGTCAGAGAACTTCATCCTCAAGTCCGTGCAGCAAGAGGAGGCTCTTCATCACATCTAGTACACTCTTAGGAGGTGGCAACTCGTCTCCTGGTGGATCGTCCTCTTCTCGACGACGGCTTGTTTGTCAATCAATTAGAGATGATTTACTCAATGGATTCGCAATCCTTTTATCGCGAATCGTTCAACAATTTTAGTAGCAATGCTCCACAAATCACGTTGACGAGATTTTTGCCAATGATCCAACGATTCTCGTTGCTTAATCCTTCACCAATGATCTGCAGGAAAGTCACGATAATCAGATAAGAATATATGAATTTTGACTCTAGGAGGATTCGAACCCGCGCCGGTTGCCTGCCTTTGAGGAAGGTGTGACACGAGTTTAGTCCCACATCGGTTGTGTGGCGATTTTTCGAGCGAATATATAGTAATGTTAGCTTTCTCAACAAAGCCCTTTCTCTCGTGTGTACGACCACTCCTTGCCCCACAGCCAGCTGGCCACTGGTGACGCGGAAGGGGAGTGGCACACATGTGTCCCTATCAGTCCAAGTTAAGTCGCTCGAGCTTCTACTCGCGGCTGCTCCTTAACTGCGCTTCCGACCCACTTGCGGGCCCGGCTGGCCGGCGGGTCCCCCCATTTTGCAATATTTTTATTTTTATTTCTTGTTCTTCATTTATCTCAAAAGTAAGATTGTAAAAATCATATAAAATCACATAATTACCCAAAAATTCACATTAATCAACTAAAAACCACAAATCATACTTTAACACAAATATAAGTCTATTTATCATGAGTTAAGGCTAAAACTATATTATTTACTAATTATTAACTCATGATAATTAAGACTTATCAACACCTAACTCTTGTAACAAAGGGAAGACAATCTAATGCCTTTATTTCTAGCATATGAGAATTGGCATATGAAATATATGACATAATGTGATGAGTTAATCTTGTGAATTTGAATAGTTGTTCTCTTGATGAGCATAATGGAAACCAAGGTTAAGACCCTAGATAAGTAGACATAGGTTAAGGAAGTCCAAAGCCAAGATAGAAAAAGGTTATTCATATTGGCAATAAGTAATTTTTCAACCCAAGTAATTGAATGCACTTATTGCAATCAAAGGTAAATCAGTGAAACTGGAACAAATGTAGAAAAGTTAAAAATAAAAAAAATATTCTCCCCTTTCTTAATGCATATTCTAGCCTATTTTGAGACCAAAAAAAGTTGTATTTTAATTTTTATGAAGAAGTGAGTTGATTCACCTAAAGCAAGTGTTTTTGGGCATTAAAATTTATCACTTTAAAATAAAATAAATAAATAATAAAAGTGCTGTAATATTGCAACCTAGTGATGAGGTAAAAAGACCAAGTCACCCATTTTCTTTGTCTTCTTGTAGTTTTCTAAAACATACATGATGGAGAGCAAAAAATAGATAAAAAGATGAAAAATAGGTACAGTAGAAAAAAGGCATAATTTAAGGCAATGCACAAGAAGAGTTAATCTCTTAAGAGCACAAGTGCATATTAGTCATGTTTAGTAATGACAAGCCAATTAAATCACTATCACTCAATGAAATGGAGCAACAATAATTCTCATTAATTACAAGAACCACACATGGCTAATGATAACTCTCATTAGTTACATAATAATTTTTTACTATTTTAAAGTTTATTATTTAATTTTGCAGAAATATTTTAAATTATTTTAATATAGAAAAAATAATATTAATCTTATTTATATGATTATATTGTTAGTCTAGAAATTACATGATGAAATTGGCCAAGAAACATTCTGATAGCTTTTACCAATGATTATTATTATTTTTATCAAAATGCTTCAATGTTAATTGTATTTATTTCTGATTTTTCCTGAATTTCTCTGAATTTTATGAGCTTATTATGATAAATAATAATATAATAATAAAATTAAAATATAAAACTAATTTCTTTTTTTAGGTTTACTACATCAATGATGGACATAAAGGATATAGGGAGAATAATAGCAGATGATTCAATAAAATCGACAGAACTAATGCATAAGAAGATGAAAAATATTGGAGAAGAAAGAATAAGGCATTTTCGATCAAGCTATCACTCTCTATAATCATTTTCTCTCTCCTCTAACAATGATGAATGTTGAATTCACCTAAATCATTCATTTGATGCAAAGGATAGATTTTGTCTAGATTTCTCCTTGATTCAAGCACTCAGAAGCTAAAATTCATCCACAAACTCATTCCATTCTTCACTTGATACAAACGAAGAAGAATTTCTTCTGAGGTTCCTTCTCTAGATCCTCAGAAGAAATTGTTGAACCACCAAAGTCAATCAGTTCTAACAAGTGACAATTGTTGGGATTGTCATTCATCAATTGGAGATTGTGTAGGCATCCATCCATTGCACCACTCCTATAGAAATCAATTGAATTTGGTGAAAATTCAATTGATGATCATTCCACCCATTCTTTTGAAAAACTTGAATCTTTGCATAATTTTTAATTTTTTTAATTTATAAAAAGTTTGATTCAATTCTACATCATGTTAAGAATAATTTCTTCTTTTAAATAAAAGATTAAATAAATTTATTTGGCTTTGATTTTGAGAAATAAGAGTTGATATATTTTTGGCAAGTCAAATTTGGGGGTGTTTTTCATGGGCTGATCTCTGCTAACACCATAATAACTAATTTATTTTCTTTAATTATTTTTTTATTAATTTTCACAATTAAAAATTCTAAAAACCATATATAAATTGGCTTATTTGACTAACTAATTTTTTTATCTTGTGTTGACTTGCAGAACCCATATAAAATTAAATTATTCTAAATTGGCTTATTTTCCAGCATTTATAAACTATAAATTTGCTGAATTTTCTTTACAATGATTAAAATTATTCAGACATGAAGCATGTAAAATATTTAGAATATTATCTTTAAATTGATCATTTGTTTTTTGCAAACATATTTAAACAATTTACTACCAATTGGCACACATCATATGGTTTGCTTAGGTTCTAACATTAATATTGCCCTCATTACCCAAGATAACATGAGTCAATCACTAAATTCAGTTTTTTATGCACTACTTGTATGACATGTTTTTGTTAACTACTTGATTCTGGATATATATTTAAGATAAATTTTATTGAACTCTCCTTCACTCACTTGGGAAGAGAGAGAGAATAGATGGATGGCAAAGGAGAACTTTGAGACTGGTGACCAAAGTAGGGCATCTACACAAGAGAGAGGTCTAGCAAATGGCTGTGACATGATCAAGGTGGAAGTGTCATGCCAATGAGAAAGGGGTTCGACTAGAGGAGTTAGGAGACAGCCCATAGACCAGAGGACACTGGCAACTCGCTTGCCTGACACTTGTTTGCGCCATGGGGATCCTTTACCTCCATCATAAATTAAAACTAGTTTCATAAAAAAACAGTGCATCTTCTAACAGTAAATATGGGTTTTGAATGATAAGATGATGATCAGAATATATGTTACATGAAATAAACACATGATAGGTGACGCGACTCAGTCGTTGTATGTTAAATCACGCAAATTTAAAATTTATAAAACTAGAAAATACGAATTTTCGGATATTTAGAAGTATTTCAAAATAAACAGATCAATTATAATTCAATAAAAATCTCAAAAAAAGTGGTAATTTTCCAGGTCGATCACAGGGATGTAATATAATATCTGGTAATTATTCAGAATTTTTCTCAATGAGTACAATTTTCTTACGAATTTTATACTAGGAAATAAAAGGGAAATATATTTAAAATTCACAAAAAAAAGGAAATAAGGGTGCGGACGTCAAGATGACGTCAGCGCCCGGCGAACGCGAATCAGGCGGAAACAGAGTTCCGCCCGGCGATTCTTACGTAGGCGATTACAGACGACTCAATTAATCAAATTAAGATCTGTAAAAGCCGGAAGAATCGTAGTTGAACGAAGTATAGTTTGGTAAATAAAAATCAACAAAGTATCACTAAATGAAGCGTAAATTAAATTGAAAGCAGGAAAACAGAGTTCCGGCGTCGCGACGGCGATGCGTCGGCGATGCACCGGAATCCTGAGCGTTCGGGAGGATCGTCGTGCAGTGTCCATGGCCTCGAAGGCTCTCCTTGGACAAAGACGACGTGGGCAATCTCTAGATCTTCTCGTGAATTCTAGAGATCAATGAAGTGGGTCGTCGAATCGTCTCTAGCGGCTGTCACCCGACGGAGCGGAAAAACGGCGACTTTGCGGCTCTCCGGCGGCTGTCACCCGACGGAGAGGGGCTGGATGGAGGTGAGGCGCGTGTTAGGGAGCTTCATCCTCAAGTCCGCGCAGCAAGAGGAGGCTCTTCATCGCATCTGGTACGCTCTCAGGAGGTGGCGACTGGTCTCCTGGCGGATCGTCCTCTTCCCGACGACGGCTTGTTCGTCGATCAATCGGAGATGATTTACTCGATGGATTGCGATCCTTTTATCGCGAATCGTTCAGAAATTTTAGTAGCAATGCTCCGCGAATCGCGTTGACGAGATTTTCGCCGATGATCCAACGATTCCGGTTGCTTAATCCTTCACCGGCGATCTGCAGGAAAGTCACGATAATCAGATAAAAATATATGAATTTTGACTCTGGGAGGATTCGAACCCGCGGCGGTCGCCCGCGCCTTACAAGGTGGATTTAGTCCCACATCGGTTGTGGGCGGATTATTCGGGCGAATATAGAGTAAAGTTAGCATTCTAGGCAAAGTCCTCTCGCGTGTACGACCACTCCTTGCCCCACAGCCAGCTGACCACCGGTGACGTGGAAGGGGAGTGGCGCACACGTGCCCCTATCGATCCAAGCAAGCCGCTCGAGCCCCTGCTCGCGGCTACTCCCTGACTGCGCTTCCGACCCGCTTGCGGGCCCGGCTGGCCGGCGGATTCCCCCCATTTTGCAATATTTTTATTTTTATTTCTTGTTCTTCATTTATCTCAAAACTAAGACTGTAAAAATCGTATAAAATCACATAATTACCCAAAAATTCATGTTAATCAACTGAAAACCACTTTTCATGCTTTAACACAAATATAAGTCTATTTATCATGAGTTAAGGCTAAAACTATATTATTTACTAATTATTAACTCATGATAATGAAGACTTATCAATAGGTCTCATGAAAGAAATACTTTGGCTCTTAGTTCCCATTTTATATAACATGTTTTATGAATAATGATCACCTCTTTGTGGCACGGCTATTTTATGATATCATGAGTTCTGTTAGTCCTCTTCCTGTTGATGAACAATTCACAAGAGACATTTTCGAAAATTTTTCTTAGCCACTATCCAACTCCTTTCCATGTTCTCACGTCATTTTATTCTCAAATAATGAAGAACTTGGATCATTGACATGATCATAATAGGGATCACTGTGAACTCGAATCATTTTATTTGATGTTACCAAAAAACTAAATCAGTTGGAGAATATAGAGCAACACAAGAAAAAAAGATGAATCTTAGTTTTTGAAATGTTTGTCACAAGATCTCAAGATGAAAAAAGAAGTCAAACTAAACCAAGCTAGGAAAATGAACCTAGTCAGACAAACCATCCCCCCCCTTGTTCTGTAAACATCTTTGGATTGTATGTATACATATATATACAGACATAATGGAGACTAGTCAGTACATTCAAAAGTTGGTGAAATAAGAAGCACAAAAACCTTGAGAGTTGCAACAGATGATGAGCACAAAAACTAAGGTGAGATATCTATGGTTGGTGAATGACCTGATTGTTCTTGGACTCTATTGGCCCAATAAACACTGGGCGCAGTTCCATTCTGAGCCAGATTCAAGTGGCGTGAGCAAGACCCAATTGAGTTGGATCATCAGCGTACTTTGAAAATCTCCGTCTTACAAAATTTTAATGGACATTCGTGGGATATGAATACCCATGACCATCATCTGAACTTGAGATGGGGTAGCAAAGAAGTACAAGAAGAGGAGGAGGCGAGAGGCACAACCCAAAGGGTGACTGTGATGATTGACAGGAAGGAGTTTGCAATACATTGGCCCACAATGATCCAACTACTACTCTGCTCGTTATGTGGTGCCCACCAAAAAAAAATTATAACTGTTGCGATCTCTCTCATACATCTTCACTCTCTCATATAGGTGTATTGGATGTATTTAGGCATAGAACTGGACCTGAGAACTAGGCAGTTGTATAATTTACACCTAAAGATGTTTTCAGAAATTCAAAATTAAATGGCCAATGTGACAAATTACACTGCCTATTGGGACGAATCAGGCCATTTTTTTTAAGATCCACTGTTCTTGTGATAGTCATTCGTGTCACATGCTGCTGGTCAGAGCTTTGTGAGGTGGCTTTGCTCATCTGGTCAAGGAAGGGGAACACTTCCCCTGTCTTTTGTTCCTCATCGTATTCTTTCATTCTATGCTCTTCACTTCCTTTCTTCTACAAGCTTCAGCTGGGCCTCATTGCTGGCAGATTCAGATGTTGCGTTGATAAGTTTACTTTTACTTATTTTTTCTAGAGCCAATAATGCCACACATTGGTATAGTTTAACTTGAAATGCTGGTTAGGAATATCATCTAGCATGGAACCATCATTCTTCTCTATGTATTAATCATTCCTAGGATAGATAGTAGGAGAGCCAACTCCCTTTGTTGCTAAAAGTTAGTTAGCTCAATATAAATATTATAAAACCTTCCTCCTAAAATATTTCCTTAAATAAATGTTGACGTGACTCAGTCGTTGTATGTTAAATCACGCAAATATAAAATTTATAAAACTAGAAAATACGAATTTTCGGATATTTAAAAAGTATTTCAAAATAAATATATCAATTATAATTCAATAAAAATTCCAAAAATAGCGGTAATTTTCCAAGTCGATCACAGGGATGTAATATAGTATCTGGTAATTATTCAGAATTTTTCTCAATGAATACGATTTTCTTACGAATTTTATACTAGGAAATAAAAAGGAAATATATTTAAAATTCACAAAAAAAAAGGAAATAAGGGTGCGGGCGTCAGGATGACATCAGCGCCCGGCGAACGCAAATCAGGCGGAAACAGAGTTCCGCCCGGCGATTCTTACGTAAGCGATTACAGACGACTTAATTAATCAAATTAAGATCTGTAAAAGCCGGAAGAATCGTAATTTAACAAAGTATAGTTTGGTAAATTAAAATCACACAAAGTATCACTAAATAAAGCGTAAATTAAATTGAAAGCAGGAAAACAGAGTTCCGGCGTCGCGACGGTGATGCGTCGGCGATGCACCGGAATCCTGAGCGTTCGGGAGGATCGTCGTGCAGTGTCCACGGCCTCGAAGGCTCTCCTTGGACAAAGACGACGTGGGCAATCTCTAGATCTTCTCGTGATATCTAGAGATCAATGAAGTGGGTCGTCGAATCGTCTCTAGCGGCTGTCACCCGACGGAGCGGAAAAACGGCGACTTTGCGGCTCTCCGGCGGCTGTCACCCGACGGAGAGGAGCTGGATGGAGGTGGGGCGCGTGTTAGGGAGCTTCATCCTCAGGTCCGCGCAGCAAGAGGAGGCTCTTCATCGCATCTGGTATGCTCTTAGGAGGTGGCGACTGGTCTCCCGGTGGATCGTCCTCTTCCTGATGACGGCTTGTTCGTCGATCAATCGGAGATGATTTACTCGATGGATTCGCGATCCTTTTATTGCGAATCGTTTAGCAATTTTAGTAGCAATGCTCCGCGAATCGCGTTGACGAGATTTTCGCTGATGATCCAGTGATTCTCGTTGCTTAATCCTTCACCGACGATCTGCAGGAAAGTCGCGATAATTAGATAAAAATATATGAATTTTGACTCTGGGAGGATTCGAACCCGCGCCGGTCGCCCCCGCCTCTTCTGAGGAAGGTGTGCGGGGGTTTAGTCCCACATCGGTTGTACGCCGAGTTTTCGGGCAAATATATAGTAATGTTAAATTTTTGAGCAAAGTCACTTCTCTCGCGTGTACGACCACTCCTTGCCCCACAGCCGGCTGGCCACCGGTGACGTGAAAGGGGAGTGGCTAATGCGCGTGCCCTGTTGGTCCCCAAGCCAAGCTGCTCGAGCCCCTGCTCGCGGCTTACTCCCCGACTGCGCTTCCGACCCGCCTGCGGACCCGGCTTGCCAGCGGTTTCCCCATTTTTGCAATATTTTTATTTTTATTTGTTCTTCAATTATCTCAAAAGTAAGACTGTAAAAATCGTATAAAATCACATAATTACCCAAAAATTCACGTTAATCAATTGAAAACCACAAATCATTCTTTAACACAAATATAAGTCTATTTATTATGAGTTAAGGCTAAAACTATATTATTTACTAATTATTAACTCATGATAATGAAGACTTATCACACCCCCCAACTTAAATCATTGCTAGTCCCTTAGCAATGGAATTACGAAAATAAAATTTTACAAATCTCAAACATCATATTTCAATACAGAAAAAAAATATAATTAGAAATGATGCACCGTTAAACACTTTGGATTCTTATATCAAGTATTTAAGAATGATGCCAAGCACTTAAATGTTTAAACACACCTTGGAATAACAATCTAGACTTCACTTCTTCTATGCACATCTTTATCACTTCTTCACTCATAGATGTATTTACAAGATGTTCCAATTATCAATACTCATCCAAGAATAATATTGATCTTACATTTCCCTTTTTCTATGACTTGATTTTTGAAGTTTGCACTATATTTCTTCCTTCTTTTTTTTTTTTTTATAAATAGTGGATAAGTAACTTTTCTTGTAGACAAATTTCGACAATAAGAATGATGTCTCACACCCTCCATGTATACTCTTCATTTTCAGGGCTTTCACTTTATCCACTTATTTTTCAGCAAGTGTTTTTCTATGCACGATTTTCGACAATGAGAATGATGTCTCACACCCTCCATGTGTACTCTTCGTTTCTAGATTTTTCACATTGCTCTCTCTTTTTTTTTCTTTTTTTTTCTTTTTTTTTGAAATAAGTGATTTCTCCTCACAAGTCCTATAGATCAAGGTGCAAAAATCTCCATTAAACTCAAATGATCAATCAAATTTTCACATCAAGTAAATACTATCCATCAAGATCATGAAGTGAAAATCTGTAAAATCAAATCCATGTTATCTATCATGTATCCAAGGAGTATTCCAACATTTTATGCTACTAGATCATTCTTTTGACTCAATAATAATCTTCCTAGTATCTTTTGGTATCAATCAATCTAATTGATTTAATTTTTCATGCATGTAATATGATGTAAGGAATTTGTAAATTAGATAGTTCTGAGAATTCTGTTTTCTATTTTCAGTTCTATTTTTAGCAGCAATAAATTTATCAAAAATTAATCAAAACTATCTTCTTTATAGCTGTAATTTCGAATTTCAATAATATATATCTAGGGGATTGAAATGTGAGAAAAGGGTCTTCTAGAATTTCAAATTTCGGGCTGTTTTTTGTCTGCTGTTTTTGACAGTCTGTTGTTTTTGACAGAAAATCAGAAAATAGATGTTGCAATTTTTCCGAATTTTATTTTATTTTTATTTTTTTAGATGCTGTTCTAAGTTGAATAAAATGCAAACACATGTTGTTAATCGTCCTACAGCATAAATTAATAATGAATACTTCACCCCCCAACTTAAAAATGACATTGTCCTCAATGACACAGAAAACTCGAAACAGAATATGCAGAAAATATAATTTTCAAGTGAAGCATGCATATCTGCAAAGTTAAGCATTAAAAATATTTTCATAAATGATGAAGCTCTGAAAGACATCACCTCAACCTCGTTTTTAATTTTCCACTTCATCTTACACTCCTCCTCCTGCACTTTTTCGAAAGAAAAACAAACACAGAAACAAGTATTACGAAATTCTAAGAAAAACAGAGCTTAAAAGAAATCAAACAAAAT